TGCCATCTCTGAGTCTCCAGGGTGCTTTGAATTGACTGTTAACCAGTTTAAAAATAATCTTCTTAAATTTTTACTTTAAAAATGGTGATTTTTACCAAAGAAAGCTTTTAAAAATTCCCAAAGAAACAGTTAACAATTTTGTTTGCAATGTACCCAAACAGTGAACTCCCTCTGCTCTACTGCATTAAATACACTTTTTAAAGGCCCTTGCAGTTTTATTATTCCAGGTGCACTGCTACCATAAGAGGCCTTTGTGGACCACTGCTATAAATGTCATTTGTTCCCATTAAGCAAGTGCATTATATATAAGATGATTGTCTAAATTTATGTTGACTAATCTAGAGGGTAGTATATCAGGTAATATATCAAAATATCTGAAGCCTAAAAATGTAGAAATCAACTCTTATTTTATAATTCAAAGACTATTTTTATTTTACTGAGCTCCACAAAATATATGCTTGTTCTTTCTAGGACTGTGAAACACATAAAAAAGAAAGCAGCCAAATTTGACCATCATCCAAATAATTCAAATAAAACTCATAGCTGTCCAGTGACTTGGGTATTTTAGTTGAACTTATGAGAAGTTGGAGTGTTGAAGAAATTTTAAAAAGAGATATTTTTGGTTCTGATTAAGTAATTTATTTAGTTTTCATTTAAATCTATAAAAGATTTTAAATCTGGCAGTTAATTTCAAATATTGTATTCCTTACACTCATTTTATTTATTTTTTTCATTAAAAAACCTGTTTATTGTTGAAATTCTCAAATAGATTAAAAATGAAAGTAAATAATGTAATGAACACACATATACCTATTATTCAGCTTCACCAATTATTAGGGCATAGTTACTCTTGTTTCATGTACACTTACACCCACTCTCCCCTATTATTTTGAAGCAACTCCAAGATCATATCATTTCATCTGTACTATTTCAGTATATAAGAAGTTGCCTTAATCAGATCAGCATAACCTTGCTATGACACTCATTATTCCCATCCTATATTCTCATATAGTAGGGATAGTCTTCCAGATCAGGAAAACTAAGATGGGTTTTAGAAAATCATTGACTAATAAGTTCTTTTTTCCAGGAGCTAGTTTTTTGTTTTTTTGTTTTAGTTTTTGTTTTTGTTTTTGAGACATAGTCTCACTCTGTTGCCCGGGCTAGAGTGCCGTGGCATCAGCCTAGCTTACAGCAACCTCAAACTCCTGGGCTCACGCGATCCTCCTGCTTCAGCCTCCCAAGTAGCTGGGATTACAGGCATGTACCACCATGCCCAGCTAAATATATATATATATTTAAGCTGCCAATTAACTTCTTTCTGTTTTTAGCAGAGACAGGGTCTCACTCTTGCTCAGGCTGTTTTTTTTTTTATTTCAGCATATTAGGGGGGTACAAATGTTAAGGTTACATATATTGCCCATGCCCCTTCTCCCCCCCCACCTGCCCAACACCGGATAAATGTTTTTCCTATATGTTCCTTAAGTGTTGATCCGTTAATACCAATTTGCTGGTGATACATGTATGCTTGTTTGTCATTCTTGAGATACTTCACTTAGTAGAATGGTTCAGCTCTATCCGGATATATATACAGGTGCTACATCACCATTGTTTCTTAAAGCTGAATAGTACTCCATGGTATACATATACCACATTTTATTTATCCACTCATGTATTGATGGGCACCTGAGTTGTTTCCCCACCTTTGCAATTGTGAACTGTGCTGCTATAAACATTCGCGTTGCAGGTGTCCCATTTGTAGAGTGTCATTTGATCTTTTGGGTAGATGCCCAGTAGTGGAATTGCTGGATCAAATGGTAGATCTACTTGTGTCACTTTAAGCTATCTCCATATTGCTTTCCACAGAGGCTGAACCAGTTTGCAGTCCCACCAGCAGTGTAGAGAATTCTATCCTCCACATCCACACCAACATTTATTGTTTGGGACTTTTTGATAAAGGCCATTCTTACTGGAGATAAGTGATACTCATTGCAGTTTTTTTTTGTTTGTTTGTTTGTTTGTTTTTTTTTTGAGACAGAGTCTCACTTTGTTGTCCAGGCTAGAGTGAGTGCCGTGGGTCAGCCTAGCTCACAGCAACCTCAAACTCCTGGCTCAAGTGATCCTCCTGCCTCAGCCTCCCGAGTAGCTGGACTACAGGCATGCGCCACCATGCCGGCTAATTTTTATATATACAGCTGGCCAATTAATTTCTTCTATTTATAGTAGAGACGGGTCTCGCTCTTGCTCAGGCTGGTTTTGAACTCCTGACCTTGAGCAATCCGCCGCCTCGGCCTCCCAAGACTAGGATTACAGGCGTGAGCCACAGCGCCGGCCCTCATTGCAGTTTGATTCTGTGATGCATTTCTGTGATGATTAGAGATGTTGAGCATTTTTTCATGTTTGTTGGCCTTTATTCTGTCTCTTTTGAAATTTTCTGTTCATGTCCTTGCTGCCACTTTTTGTTATAGTGTTTGATTTTTTTCTTGCTGATTTTCCTGAGTTCTAAACAGATTCTAGTTATCAGCCCTTTATTGGATGTGTAGCTTGTGAAAATTTTCTCCCATTCTGTGGGTTGTCTGTTTGCTCTCTTGACAGTTTCTTTGGCTGTGCAGAAGATTTTAAATTTGATCAGGTCCTATTTACTTATTTTTGTTGCTGCTGTGATTGCCTTGGGGGTCTTCTTTATAAATTCTTTGCCTAGGCCAATGTCTAGAAAAGTATTTCTAGTGTTTTCCTTGGGATTCTAATAGTTTCACACCTAATGTTCAAGTCTGTTACTCAGCATGAGTTGATTTTTGTGAGAGGTGAAAGGTGTGGGTCCTGTTTCAGTCTTCTGCATGTGGCTATCCAGTTTACCCAGCACCATTTATTGAATAAGGATTCTTTTCCCCAGTGTATGTTTTTTGTCTGGTTTGTCGAAGATTAGTTGGCTATATGAGGATGGTTTTATATCTGGGTTCTCTGTTCTATTCCACTGGTCAATGTCTCTGTTCTTGTGCCAGTCCCAAGCTGTCTTAATTACTATAGCCTTGCAGTATAGTTTGAAATCTGGTAAATTAATACCTCCTATTTTGTTTTTATTGCCTGGGATTGATTTTGTTAGAGGGGGTCTTCTCTGGTTCCATACAAAGCGTAAAATTATTTTTTCTATATCTGGGAAAAATGATGATGGTATTTTAATAGGGATTGCATTGACTCTGTAGGTCACTTTGGGTAGTACAGACATTTTAACAATGTTGATTCTGCTGACCCATGAGCATGGTATGTTCTCCCACCTGTTTACATCCTCTGCTGTTTCCTTCTTCAGTGTTTCATAGTTCTATCTGTAGAGAACTATGTTAATAATAGCTATAAAATACTGTAATATGAAAACATTGAGAAGATAAATGAAGAGAAATGGGCATATTTTTATATTATATCAAATAAATACATTATTCATCACTTAGCTGTAAAGGAAACTTGGAAAATAAATAGGCCATCGCTTTTCCTCTTCTCAGTGAGGATACATACTCTTATGTTTAGTTCCAAAGTTTGAAAATCAATATTAATACTTTATTCAATTATTCTTTCTTATATTTTTCTCACCTTGAAAATCCTCTCAAGTGGTAAAAGTGCTTGTAATATATTTTAAAATAGGCACAGACAAATCACTACTCTCTAGAAAATATTTATTGACATGTTTTAATTTTCTTTCTATATTCTGAGAAATACGCAAAATACAGTAAAATGCACTTTTCCCATTTCAAATAAATATACTTTACTCTCGTAAAAAATTTAATAATCTGTGTAATTCACCACAGTATATTAATAAGTGAAGTAAAGCAAAGATAACCTCTACATAAATTGTCACTTATTTTAATGATTCTCACAAGCATTTTCCTGGAGAAAAATAACATTATTCTCTATAGCAGGCATCCTCAAACTATGGCCCGTGGGCCACATGCAGGTGTTTTTGCCCATTTGTTTTTTTTTACTTCAAAATATAATATGTGCAGTGTGCATAAGAATTTGTTCATAGTTTTTTTAAACTATAGTCTGGCCCTCCAATGGTCTGAGGGACAGTGAACTGGCCCCCTGTTTAAAAAGTCTGAGGACCCCTGCTCTATAGTATGATACTGACTTGGAAATTGTTGCTTCTTGTTTGGAGAGGCAAAGATAAGCTTTTAAAAATGTGTTTAGTGTCAAAAATAGTCTTAGTTTGGAAGAAAAATAGCATCCAAGTCTTTACTGAATCAACTAAGTGAAGTGTAAATTTTCTTGTTAATACTTCCTAGAGACCAGACTACATTCTGAATAATAATGATGCCTATGTATCACACTAGTAATTTTCAAAATTAGTGGTTAAGTATTTAAATTAACAATTATGTATGTAATATAAACCCCAGACAGAATTTTAAAGCTCTATTAACAAGAAAAGCTAAAAATAATGGTGCTATACAGGACAAATTTATCCTTTTCACAATTGTTATTTTAACATTATAAGAAATGAAATCTACTGAATTATACACAGACTTATATACACATAGATCCCTGATCAGTTTAAGACAATGTGTTAGTTTGCTCTTGTAAGTGGTAAGAATATTCTTGTAACCAGTAAAAATCACATTTAGGTAGTCACCAATCTCGAAAGTTTTCTTATGTATAATTTATTCACCCACAAAAGAATATATCACTGAGTAGTAAAAGTCATTAGTACTGTCTAACTTCCTATGTTAGCAGTTAATTGGTATTTTATAAAGAAGTTGGTAGAAGTAAATCAACCTTTACTGTAGCTCCAATCCCACCATATATGGCTCGTTTACATAGATGCAGAAATGCTGATTAAACTATGCCACCTCAAAACATAACTATGTTCAGTAAAAATCTTACACAAGCTATAAAGTGGGTATTATATCTGCTCTAAGCATTATAAAGGACATCAATTATTTTCCAGGTGGTGACTTATATTATGAAACTTTTCCCTCTTCATTTTAAAGTGTAGAAAATTATATGCCTAGGCATTCTTTTATGGCACCATTTTTATTTTTACATATTTCTGAAATAGGTAAGTGTGTGCTCAAAAATGCACAAGTCCAATAAAACAAGTTTGTGGTTTCCTTCTGTGACCTTTTTTATAACTCCTCCATCTCAAAGTGTGTATTAAAGCTGTTTGCCATGGATGTGTGTTCAAAGATCCTTGACAGGCTTGGCTTCAACAGTTCTACTGAATGACATGGCAGGTGCTGAGAGGTGTCATTCTTCAGGGACATCATTGGGTCTGTCCCAGGCTCCCTTCTATCATAATACAGAGCCCAGAGCAGAGTAATGGTGAGAATCATGGCCAGGATTTGTGTCACTCCAATGGAGATTCCCAGAAACCTCAGCACCTGCAGTTGTTTGGTTCCTCTCAAAAAGGAATACATTTTCTTCCCACAACCCTGTAAAAGAAATAACATGGTAAATATTACTTTGGTTATGTTACAGGGGGTAAAAATAGGTTCATGAAAACAAACAATCTGTATCAGTTAATAGAGCCAAACTATTTGAATCATAAAGTTTAAGACAGTGACTCTCAAGGAAAGCTTATGAGAAGGTGGAGGAGAGAGGGAGGTGTGTATCTTTTGAAAAGTCTGACCAGCTGATTCTGATGAGGTTACTTACCCCTTCTCTTATCTTCCCCTCAACCCAAGACCCAGTGGTATAAATAGTAAATATGTTAGGCTTTCTGAGCTGTGTAATCTCTATTGCAACTACTCATCTCTGCCACCATAATACAAAAGCAGCCATTGATGATATTTAAATGAATGGATGTGGCTATGTTCCAATGAAACTTCCTGCATACACACACAAAAAAGGCAGTAGGCCAAATTTGGCCCACAAGCCATAGACTGCTGATCAAAGATTTAGACTGACCCCAAAATTTCAAAAATAATATTTTATTATTATTGTATGCCCTGTTGACTTACAGCTCATTTGGTCAGAGACTTTTCCCTAAGGATCAGGAGTGGTTTCCCAGTCTGCTGCTGAAACATGCTGGTGGGTGGAAATCGACCTATACCCTCTCCCCCACCGACACACACACACCTCTGTCCACTGCCGATAGCAGAAATACACATGGGAAAATTACCCTCACGACTCAACTTCTAGTTCTACCACACAAGGGTCTGATAGGTATCTTTTGCCTCCCCTACAGGTTAGAAAAAGATTAGCAAGGTTCTTTGTCTGTTTGCATTTAGTCTTAAGTACAAGTTTAAGGAGTGACTATGTGAACACACAGAAGAGAATTCTGAAAAAAAGAGGAGAGAAAGAAAAGTCATGACAAAGAAAAATGGGGAGAGGAGACCAAAAATAAAAAGAAGTTAGAATATGACCAAGACACTATCTCAGGTGACCAAAGCTAAAGCTATCTGCCTTGTCTCTACTGAACCACAGGAAAGAAATGATAATATACTCTTTGAAAGGGAATCTGATTCTAAATTAAGGTGAGAATCTATGAAAGCATTTTATAACTTTAAAAAATTTCAAGAGCTTTGAAGATTCTGAGATTTTACTCTATTTGGAAGCTAGCAAATTAGCCTGCCACTGTGTTTCATGGATGTTGGCAATTGTCAGAGTATGTGCCAATTCCCAAGTTTTGAGGGCAGCACAAAGAAGGCCAGGTCACACCTGTACACACAGTGGGCTGTATTATAGGAGATGAACTCCAAGCTTAGGAAACCCCAATCTTTTATAATGGGCAGTAAGCACACCTGTCCTTTGCCCTGAAGAGAAGCATTATCCTTACGACAGTGGACAGTAAATAAACCTGCTCTTCTTTGTGAAAGCAGATACTATCTCTATCTTCGAGGCTATTTTATTATATAATACATCTTTGAAAAGATAGTACAGAACAAAGGCCAGTGCTGTTCACAAGACATCCAGAAATGCAAGACAGCCAAGGAAAATTACCTCCCAACAACTCTGACTTTCAAATATTTTATTCTGAGTTTTGGGTAAAAGTGGTTCAGCACTTGTCCTTTAGAGGTAGCTAACTTGAATAAAAAGAAATTCATAATAATTTAAATACTGCTTCCTTGTTTTCTTCTCCAGATTTCACAAAGAATTCGACTAAGTCAAGGAAAACAAGACATTAAATCAGTTATTAATTTGTGCATTATATTGGAGGGAAGAAATGAATAATACATAATTCTTAGATTTTCACAGACATTTACCAGTAACGCCAACAAGACATTACTCTCAAGAAACAAAAAATCATGTAAAACTATAATAGTTAGACATATTTTATTAACTGTCTTTTTATGGTATACCATGTAATGAAAATTAACAGCAAAAGATTAGCAAAGGTTCATCGGTTTCACCAAAAGTGAAATTATGATGTTTATGATTGAATAATACTTAACACTGGTTTAATAAAGTCACTTCTCTGGCCATCTTACCTATTTGACACATACACAAGAAATGTGCACACACACAGACATACACACACATTCTATGGGAAACCAAAATAGATTTCACAAAGACAATTTACCAAAGTTCAAGTATCTTTCAAAGAGTTCCAGTAAGGTATTCTACAAGAGCCCATTCACTCTTATGTTTCTGTGTAAATTTAACAAGCATCTTTATATGACACAGTACAGTACAATGGTAATGATCATGAACTGCAGACCAGGAGTCTGAATTCAAATTCCTGCTCTGCTACTTATAAGCTGTGTCTGGACAAATTACTTAATCTTTCTGTGCTTCAGTTTTATCATCTGAAAAATATAGATAATAATAGTATCTACCTGTCTGAGATGTTGGGAAGATTAAATGAACAAATGCCTTTCAACAATTAGAATGGTGCTTATCACATGGTAAGGGCTCTTATCTGAAGTGTCAGCCCACAGATTAAAAAGTAGAAAGCTCCAGTTAAAAATAGATGGGAAATCTATGACCAGCAAATATTCATGGAAAAGTATGAACTACAACACTTTTTAAAGGAGTATGAAAATGCCAAAAGCACAGCAATGTGTCACCAGTGAGTACTGATGCAATGGCCTTAGCCTGTAAGAGCCAAGGTGGCCGTCACTGATTTTCGGGACAATGAAGTAACTGTGCAAAATGATTATTTGTCACTGAGACATTAGATTACCAGTCTCCTAATTAAGAAGAGAAGTAGTTTACATACTTTAGAAAAAGTCACCTCAAAAATCATTAAATTTAAAAAGTTTAGCTTTGGACATCTGCAACATTAATTTACATGGACACTTCATTTAACATCATTGTTAAATAACGTGGCACTATATTCTTACATCTGAAATTGACATAGAAATGCCTTGAAGCATGTTTAGCTGATTCCTTAGCTATGTTCTCAGAACTTAGTACAAAAATGTATCTCTAATGATTAAAGAATTAGCATGAATATGTAAATATTTGGGTAATAATAATTATAACCGATTTCAGAATTAAAGGTAAACTATCCAAAGATACAAAATTTCAGTTAGACAGGAGGAATAAGTTCAAAAGATTTATTGTACAACATGGTGACTATAGTTAATAAAAATGTACAGAGAAAGGTAAACCATTCACAAAATATTTGCTGATGGTTCAACCCTGTGAAATTCAATTTTCATTTCATTTTTACTTTTTCAATAGTCTCTGGGACCTAAATTTTACCAATATTGGTCTAAGGCCTCCCACCCTCTTAGACTAATTCATTTTAAGGTGCGAAACTGTATAGAAAAGGTAATATTTCCTTTTTAAATCTGTAAATAAAACAGAAAAAAAGCAGAAATTGATAAATTAACACAGTTTATTGTATTTCATCTTTTGACATTGTGAAAAGTCTGTTTCGGGTCACTCATATTTATTTTAAAAATGGTACAGTAAATTTTATCTCCTAGGATAGTTTGGGAATGAGACCTATTAGTCTCTAGACTAATCTAGAACATTGGATGTTCTAGAATGGCAGGGAGCCTTGGAAGTTGCAAATTCAACTTTTTATGTTTCACATGGTAAAAAAGCACTTCTAGATGACATCAGCAACACTAGTGTAGGGAAGACCTCCAAAGAGTCTCTCCTCCATGTAAGCAGTGGGAGCACTGGCAAAAACTGTTAGAATCAACTTTTTCAGAATTCAGGTCATGAACCCAGTCTTGCAGCAATCTGAGGAGGGTTTATTCATCAAAAACATCTGAATCTCAGGAAGAAGAGCAATCTCTGTGGCATTTTAATTTGCCCTATCCCCATCTCCACTCCCAGGTCTGCAGTAGCCTTGAAAACCAACAGCCTACAATACGGTGAGAGCCAATAGCCTGGCAGCCACCAAAGGGGACAGAATGAGGCTTAAGCTCTTTCAAAGCTCCATTTCTAGAGGACTGTCATTATTTGTCAGGTCTGGGGGTTCCCTGGAAGATCCCACTTACAAGGCTGTCTTTATTTGACCTGAACTTGGAACTCAACTATGGGGAATAGCCCTTTCCCCTGGGGGAGTTCACCAAAGGCAGTCAGAGACAACTGCTGAACACTGAGGCTGCCTGATGCAGTGGGTAACAGTTGCACACATGGGGCTTGGCAAAATTCTGACATTTATGGGAATCTAGAAAGTTACACACATAAGTAGGGTAGTGCTTATATCCAGAGGCTGTGCATAGGCCCAGGAAAGAACTGAGAAGATCCTAAGAGCTCACCTCTGGGTAACCTTGAAGCTCTGCACACCCTTGGTAAAGGGTGAGGGACTTACTGGTCCCAGGCATCTAAGGAAATCTCTGTTCATTTATCAACTAATCACTAGGATAACTGAGCAGAGATTTCAGTGGACACACATGACAAAGAATTCAGACTTTACAGAATGGGTTTAGAAAAGTCATCAAACCAACAAATATATAACAACAAACTTTGGAGAGGTGGAGGAATCTGATTTCCAGAGTTGTCACGTTATATTTAAAATGTCCTGTTCTCTACCGAAAAAGAAAAAAAAAAAATTACAAGACATGCAAAGAAACAAGAAAGTCTGGCTCATATGCAGAGAGAAAAGCAATCAATGAAATTGTACTTCTAATAAGAGAAACTCCCTGCCTCACTAGTCAGCCCTGTCCACCCTAGAACAACACTAATTCTTAACAAGCATTCTCTTGTTGGAACCTGCCTTCTTAACAAGGATGTCCTGGTTCTAGCTCGGCTCTCAGCCCTTCCCTTTTCCATAAGGTAGAGAGTCATGTCTGAAGAATCATCATGTGACATGTAACCATTTTCCTCTCCAGGCTAAATATTCCTAGTTCCTTCAAGTTTTCCAAATATATACACTTCATCATCCCATTGATCCTTTTCTAGATTGTGCTGATTTTGTCAATGTTTCTTTGAAAATGGCATTATTTTTTAACTTTAAATAAAGCTAGAAAATGCAATCAAATATTAAGAAAAGCTATTGTGAGCAGTTTTGGATCCCAGTGACAAAAAG